TGTTATCATTATAATTTTAATGAAGATTTATTACCAGTTACTAAATAATATATTTAATTATTATAACACCTTATTTTTTTTAATAGTTGGAGTTTTTCCACTTGGATTATTTATCACCTTGGATGAGCTTGAAATCATGTTAGAAAAAGTGATCAATTTACTAAAAACAATTCTTCTGCCATATGCCTTCTTTGGACGCAGGCCACAGGTTAGTCCAATGGTTTTTTTTAACAGACAATTCGAGTGCTGAGCGTAACTCTTTAGAGTTATGTTAGCCGTAATGTAATATTCTTATTTGTATTTAGTTAATTCTTAAATAAAAAATTTTATCTAATTCAAATTAAATTATAACTTACCAAAAGAGATTCGACTTTTATACACATTTCATATTTTACAAGCCTTTTGGAGGTAGATTCATGATTTAAAGCTAAAGATGAGGGACGAAACTCAAAAAAGGCAATTAATAAACAGCCGAAACTATATTAAAACATAGTGAGGGGTACGACGAAACCCCGAAACCTGAAATTAGCCGAAACTATATTAAAAACATAGTAAGGGATATGACGAAATTATTTTGAGGGAGTTTCGGCTGGCATCTTTATTTAAAGTATAACATTAATAAGGAGAATCGGATGCCTATAATGGAGAAAATGAAGAAGATACTCTATACAACTTCCAGTTCAGAAATGGATATATATTATAATGAGTTTAAAGAAAGCTATTATTATATTTATCCTCTTTTACAAAGACATTTTGAGCTTTTATGGAGTCATTGTAATTATTGGACTTTATAATTTCACTTTAGAATTTCCAATGCGCAGAAATTATACAAATAATTATGTTGAGCGAAGTTTTGGCATTTTAAAAGATATAGTTTTTGCAAGAACACAGGCATATAACTCTGTGCAAGTATTTCAATTTGTAATTGTTAATATGGAAAGATTTTATGAGTGGCAGTTACTTGGATTTGCATATAGACATCCTGAGCATTTACATTTTAAGACGTTTTTTATGTCCCAGATAGGAGACTGTAAATACAAATTCTATTCAAAGAACAGATGTAGAGTATGAATTTTTGGTAATAAATGGTATGTCCAGTGCTCCTTGTAAACATCAAGGAGCAGTTGCAATAAAATACCACATTGCAATTTTTAATTTTTTGCTATTACTATCATCTGATAATCATATGCTTTATGCATATGTTGCACTTGGTAAGTAGAAGGGTATTTAATAGAAATCAGAGATTTATGACTAATTTTTATTTAATATTTTAGGATATGTAGCAAATGATAGTTCTTTTTATGCATTCTTACGTTCAGAATTTATTTCGCAAGATCAAAAGGTTTTACAAACAAGTGAAAATTTACTAATTTCTGATCAAAAGTTTGTATTTTTTTTTAAAAATAACATTTTGTTGAAAAGTTTAATTAATTTTAAATCAAATTTTTTCTTTAATTTTATAGGAAACCGGATAATGTGAATGAAAAAATAGATATTTCATTATTTGTTTCTATTTTGGAGGAAATGAAAACAGATTATCAAAACTCCAATTTACAATTGTGCACTGCATTGGATAAGTTTGCAGAGTGGTATCAAATTGCAAAATTGAGATCTATTCCTCGATTAGTTTCCTTTCTTTATGGTCTCAACCAAAATGTGGATCCAACAAGTCATATTAAAAGCAGTTCTATGATTCACGTTCAAGTTGAATATGCTAAACGTTATAAAACAGAATCAAGAGATACTAAATGAAAACTACATAGTACTATTAGTGAAAGGAAGGAAAACTTAGATTCTCAAGTCATTCCTTGTTGAAAGAAAAGTAAAATCATTAAAAAGGCACATAACTTAAGTAAAAACATATTTAAAAACAAGCCAAATTGAAGGTATTATATTTTATATTTTATTTATTATTTGTTTTCATTTCTTATATTTAAATATAATAATTTTTTCTTTGTTCAGGCTTTAATCACTGATTAAATTTTAAATTGATTGGTACTTGAAATTGCAAAGTATAATTTAATCATTATTATTTTAATAATTTTAATAAAGAAATAAAAGGGGTTAAAAGTCATTTATTGGTATCATAAAGCAGCAAAAAAAAAATCATTAGATTATATTTTTTATAATAAAGATTTAAAAAATTTAATCAAAACTTTTAATTTTATTATATCTAATTATTTCTTCTTCCGCATTTATATTTAAAATTACAAATCCCGAAAGTTATTTGTCATCAATTTCTTCCTTTCACAAATCATTGCTCAAAGTTTAAACTTATCAATAATGCTCAAAAACAATTATTTTTTAGAGGTTTATGTCTATAGTATAAAAGTTTTTTCTTGTTTGGGCGAAACGCATTCTCAAAAATCAATTTTCATGCAGAATTGTGATTGGTTAAAAATTAAATTGCGCTATGTACATCAAACAGTAATCCTGTTCAATTCTGTTTCATTTTAATCTGATCCGTTATTAAAAAATTAAGTAGCCAATTAAAATCATTTAAAGATCAGATTAAATAAACGGATCAACAAATCAAAAAATTTTATGATCCAAATGTTCTGGAAAAAAAACGCGCTTATATTTCATATCGTTAGGACAACATGTTTAAATTTAATGAATCCAAAATTTAATATATGTTTGAAGCCTGTTTCTATACTTTCAAAACCAATCATAGTAGAAATTTCAAATTTTTTACCTAATGAGTTTGCGTCTGGGTCAGCATCTACTTCTAAAGGACTAATTGATCTTACAGAGGTTTGTATTTTTTTTTATTTAAAATCTTTTCAATATAATTATTAATACATTTATATAAATAGTTGAATACAAATATTATTACAATACAAGAAGATTCACAAAAATTTAATGAAGAATTTTTTTTGGTAAGATTTATTTAAAATTTTAATTAAACATTTATATATCTGATACTTATTTTTTTATACTATTTAGTCATCAGTTAAAAATAAGAAACGAAAATAAAAGGTCTCCCAAAAAGAAAAAAATCTAAGTGAAGATAATACCAAATAGACAGATATAGAAATTAAAAGTTTATTACATTTTAGGGTGAACATTTAGAAGAATAGAAGCGAGGAAAAACAAAAGTTTATCAAATATAGTAAATGCAAATATATTGTCTGGTTGATCTTTTGAGCAAATTAGAAATGAAGTGGAAAGTTACGCGAAATGTACTTGCAAAAAAAAAAGCTAATTCTACTGGTGAAGGAAGTGTAAATTAGGCTTAGTTTTCACAAATGGAAGAAATTTTAGCATAAAGTAAAGCTGTTAATCCAGATTATATTACAGATTCTTTAACTACAGATTCTATTTCTGATAACGAAAATTTAAATAACAAAGAAAATTATGAAGCTGATGAATCCAAAAAGAAAAAAAGAAAGTAATTGGAATTAAAGGTTTATCTGGAGTGATTGCTGCAATAAGGGAGTTAAGGAATAGGTTTTATGAAAAAACTAGATTTAGAAGAACGCAAAATTCAAAACAAGTTTGAATTAGAAGAAAAAAAATTAATTCAACAATATGAATTAGAAAAGTTACATACTGAAAATGAAAAGATTAAATTGGAGTTAGAAATATTAAAATTTCATAAAAATAACGAATAATAAAGCATTTGTTTGATTTTGTTTAATAATTTTTTTTAATAAAATATCAATATATGAATTTTAATTTTCATTAATATTTTTATTCATAATTTCAATTTTAAAGTATTTTTATAAAATATAAGTTAATATTTCATCAATGAAACGTGATATCAGCTTTGTTTGATTTGCATTGAACGATTCTTCATCATCGTTTGAAACAAATTATTTTTTTATCGTTCGATTTGTATCAAACGATTCATCATTATCATTAAACTGAATGATAATTTTTTTATCATTTGATTTGCATTGAACGATTCATCATCATCATTTAGAATTGAACAATGATTTTTATTGTTTGATTTGCATTGAACAATTTGTCATCATTGTTTGGAATTGACCGATGATTTTATCATTTGATTTGCATCAAATGATTCTTCATCATCGTTCGAACTAAGATTGCTTGTCTAAACTCATTTTGGATTTGGTAAAATGGTTAAACCTTTAGTTTCGCTAAATTTTTACTAAGTGTTTGATATAGTTTCGCCATTTTATAAGCTTTGATATAGTTTTACCTTTTTCTGAATTTCGCAGATTTTTTAATAAGGTTTTAATATAATTTAACCAAGTTTTACTTTTACAATTTAGACGTCTGTCTAAACTCTTAATTTCATCAAACAACCTAAGTTCAAACCAAATGATGATTCTTTTATCGTTCGATTTAATCGAATGATTCATTATTGTCATTCAGCATTGATTTATTTATCATTTTTATATATAAAACACATTTATTTTAATTTTAAATTTACAAATGTAAATTTTATTTTACTAATTATCCTAGAATTTATTTATACAACAAATTGATTTAACATTTCTTCTCTTTTAAATTCTCCTTCTAACTTCAAAATCTAATTACTTTCATTATCAAAATCATATTGATTATTATTATCATAATCATCCTATTCTATAATTTTCTAAGTTTTGCCACTCATTTCAAGAAAATTATGTAATATTATAGCACAATCAGCTAAATTAATAGCTGTTTTTAAATCTTTAACAGAGATTTCTTTTAAAGCTCTAAATCTAGCTTTCAATCTATCAAATGCATGTTTTACAACAACCCTATGCTTTGAATGAATAAATTAAACTGATGTTACCTATAATTAAAAGGATTTTTAAAAAGAGATATCAAAAAAAGGAAAATTGGATATGCTGAATCACCTAGCACATAATCTTCATCTTGAATATATTTTGTTCTATTAAGATAAAAATCTGAATTGCTATAAACTCATACATCATATATTGATCCAAACCATCCTATTACATAATTAATAAAAATTTCTTTAAAATCAACAATTCCTTGAGATTGAATTGCATATCTTTTTTCCTTTTAAAGTATGCTGTTGGATCTTATGTTGATGCCTCAGTTAAAATAAAATGAGTTCTATCTATAGCTCCTATAACATTTTGAAATCCACCAATATTTTGAAATCCCGTATGAATAACACTTTGATTATTGTCTTTAGGCCATTGAACAAATTCTGATTTTTTATTTTTTATTGCTTTTATTACACAATTAACATAAAGAATTACAGAACCTTCTGATACTCCAAATCGAGAACAAATACTCATGATATCATCTTTAGAACTAAGTCATCGAAGAAATATTGCTAATTAAAAATCAACAGATACTTGTAGCTTATTTCCTTTATCTTGAAATACTATATCATACTGTAAGATTTGTACTAACCTATTAAATTGTTGTTTTTCCATTCTTAATACTTTTTTATATTGTATATCATCATATAAAGGTAAGATTTCATACTACCAATGTTTAGATTTAACAACATTATGTGTTCGAGAAACAAAATAATAACTAGAAGATAAAGCAAGAAGAACTATTTTTTTTAGTTTATAGTTATCATCATCTAGTTCATTTAGGTTTAGTTCATTTTTAAAAGAATCATCTATTTCCTCCATTATTAATAAGAATAAAACATAGTCTGTATTATGTTTAATTGATATGATTGGTTAAAATTTAAAAATGGAACAGATCAACTCAGCATTTATCTGTTCAATTCTTGCTATTTTTTAATTGGTTAAAATAATTTCATAAAAATCGGATCAGATCAAAGTGGAATAGAATTGAATAGGGCTAGCGTCTATAATTGCTCAAGCATAAAGTCACTTGGTGGGCAATCAATAGAAAAATTATATAAATTAATCCAAAATGCTAGGCGTATTATTGTTATGGATAATGATTTAACAGACCTCAACATTAAATGGATTAAGATCCTTTGCAAGGATATAACTTCCTAATCATCAATAGTTCTTTCAATTATTTTCGCAACCATCTCTTAAATTTTTATTATATTGGAAGGTTCAAAGAACATAGTTTTGTCCTGTAAATAAATAATATATACTATTAGATAAATGTTTCCTTTATGTGACCATTATATAAATTTATTCATATCTCATCAGTTTTTGGTTTAGTGTATAATGGTCTATTCTCAATTCTCTAAATAATGCATTAAATAAAGTTTATTAAAAGAGAACTTGAGTTATTACCTTTTTTATTGGTAACAATACTTTGTATCATTCATGTCTGTATGAACACTAATGAGTTGTGGATAATGCATACTTTTCCACTTGTTTTATTGCAACAGTAGCGATTGTTAAATGTTGCTCTGGGATGGAACTGTAGTCCCTCATGCTTCCTGCTATAATCACCATATAACTTACAAAAGTCTAATTCACAAGCAATAGCTTTTTCTCCATCACCCATTTTTACTGATATACAAGATTTGATTGAAGAATTTTGATATATATCTTATAAAAAAATAAATAAACATTTGTGATGTTTTTTTAAAAAAAAAAATAGTTATATTAATAATTTTCTACCTATTTCCATACCAATTCAAAAATTATCGTGAAAATCGAGAATAGGCAGGAATAATATAATTAAATGCTAAAAAATTGGGAAATTGGAAAATTTTAAAATAATGTTAGTGATAGAATTAATAAATTTCAAAATTAAACTTGATTGATACAGCTTTTTTGTATTTTTTTATTTGGTGTATCACCATATTTTATAAAGTAATGTGAAGCTGATCAACTAGACTAAATATTACGCAAAAGTGCTAAATTTCTCGTAATAATTATCTCACATCATCTTTTTTTTTACACAACCATGAGTTTTGAAAACGCTTTTAAAGATAGTTCAGATAGTCAGCTGAAATTTGATACTGATAAGAAAGTTGATGAAACTTCTAATAATTTGCAAAATTTATTAAATGATGAAACTTCAACTTTGATACTTGACACAAATAACTCTCAAGACTCTCAAAGCTCTCAAAATTCACACAAAACGTCTTCTTTATAGACACATGTAGACTGTCAAACTCTAATTCACCGGATATACAGTACCTGTATATAAAGGGTATAATTATGTATTTTCTAATAAATTAGGCAATTCTAGTATTGAACGTTATTTAAAAAGGCATAATATAATAGTTCCAAAAGTTAAAAAACAAAGCATATTAAATTTTAAATGTACAAATCCTTGGCCTGAAAAAGAAAAATTAGAATGAAACCAAATTGTTATTATTTAGGTAATTTTAAATCAACAACCCTTTCAAGTTGTTGGAAATAAAAATTTTATCAAAATGATTAATACATTTGATCACAATATACAATCCCTAATCGATATCAAATTAAAGTCATGGTTATTCAAAAATTCAACAAACGTCATTCAAATATAGGATATGATCTACGTAAAATACCTAGAAAAGTGACTTTCACTACTGATATGTAGACTTCAACATTGAGTAGCAAAGCATATCTTGGTTTAACAATTCACTATATTGACCAAAATTTGGTTTTGCAACGATTTTTACTTGATATTATTCCTTTTAAAATTTGTCACTCAGAAATTAATATAGCAAGTTCAATTAGTAATGTATTTGGTGAATTTAACTTGATAAGTAAAGCTATTGCACTTACTACTGATAATGAATCGGCAATGCTAGTATATGAACAAAAGTTAGTAGAAGAATATGAAGGTGCTTTGGATAATCTTTCATTTAATCACTATCGATGTTCTACACATATTTTAAATATTGGAGCTAAACATAGAATAAAAGTAATTGATAAAGAAATTTTAAATATGCATAAATTAATAGCAAAAATTAAGAATTCTGTTTTATTATATGATAGTTTACGTAAACTATATACAATAGAAAAAATCAAATACCTTCGTCCTGAAATTGATATAGAAACAAGGTGGAATTCCACTTACTATATGCTTTAAAAATTAGAACAAATGAAAACAGTGATAAAGATGCTTGCTATTAAGCATAAAATTATACATGATCTATTACCAGATCATATAACTTAAATAAAATTAAGGTATTATATATGGTATAATTATACATGAAGTCGAAATAGATCATTTCGGATATCTGAAATTGTCGAAATGATCGAAATCATTTTTTTTGATACTTTTACTAGGTACACATAAGTGGTAATATATTTGGATGTATACCTTTCAACAGAATGATACGTCTTACAATACGTCTAATTCCACTATTAACCCCCTTTGCTATATTTCAAACCAGTGTGGGTTAGTGTTAAACCTAGGTGAATGAGTGTAAATATCCGAGTAGACTGCCAAACCAATGAACCCTCAGGGTAGAGAGATATGGTACCCAGCCATCATTCACTATTCATCACAACTACTGGAAAGAGGATCAAGAACAACCTAAGATGATAGCCTACACCATAGTTGCCTCGCCATACGTCAAAATCAC